TCAAGAATTTTCGCAAAATGTAAACTGAAGGCCTAAGGACGTATATCGCGACCTATTACGTATAGTTACGAATACAAATATTGAGTGTGAGGGGGAGCGAGGTGTCCGAGAGTGTGGGGACACCGGTCACCCGTTCGGGGCACCCGTCGAAGCAAGTAGGACTAGGGCCTCTGCCCCGAGGGAGGGTAGGAGTAGAGGGTGGCCTCAGTTTCTCTGCCCTCCGTTGTAGTGTCCACGAACGGGACGTAGGAGTGGTAAGACGACGAGGAGTACCGACGACACGACGACGCACGGACCGACAACCGACGACGACACAAACACGAACAAGTGAACAAAAGTAACACGAGACAAAGATGCAGAGTGAAAACGCTGGTAGTAACACAAGTCACCCCCGCCCCCTCTCTCCTAAGCAGTACTTGCGTTACTACTCACAGCGCATCTTATTGACACCTTTCCAAACATTCTAAGAGCTCATCGCCACTTTGAGTTCTAACCGGTTACATTGGCGCAACATTGAATATACATTATTGATTGACCTTCCTCCTTATCTTCCAACCATTTGGACGCAAACTTGCATTTCCCCATAACGATGTTGCTTAACAACCGGCGTAAACGGACCTTCGCGCGCCATCAAGCAGTGAGCGTGCGATGTCCTGTTCAGATGACGTCAAATGCAACGGGATGCCATAAATAAACTCCACAGAATCACACTACACACCTACGCAATGATTACATTCAGGCAGACTGTAGAATACAACCTCTTTGGACAATTTATATACTTATTGAAAACAAGAACATGTAATACCTTGGAAAATGCCGTTTAATACTTTTTAATAGCCTTAATTTTCGCTGAATTGATTTATCAACTTGTAATACTTTTTAAGACCCCGCGGACACCCTGATTATCCAAAAAGGTTTGGATTAAGATTATAGATACATCTGTGTGCTCTTATGGCCAAACAACTAATCAATTCAGTTTTTTTTTATTTGTAATACTTTTGTACAAAAAAGGTGTACGTTATGGATTATGGAGGACAGAAAGGGTTCATCTTCCCCCCAAAAAATCCAAGATTATATTTGTGAATTTATCAGAAATAAACTTGGGAGAATTCCTTCTTCCTGTAAATCAGGCTACTTTGCCTTTGAAAGTAAATTTGCCAGTATGAATTATGGTTGGATTTTGACTTAAGTCCTTTCTGTTTATAGCTCTAAAACCTAAATTACATTTTTTTTTTTAAAATGATAATATGGTGTATTGTACTTTGTATAAGGGAGCCGGGAAGAGGGTAATATTTAAAAAGAGATTAAGGTTAAAGCTTGCATTTCCGAGAAAACGTACTTACTTCCTATTCCTGTCAGACTACCTTGCTTTGGAGTACGGTAAATTAAAATCTTTTTATTAATGAATTTATTATGTGAAAGTCAGATTATATAATCAAGTCCTGTCTGCAGAGCAGGCCGTCTGAGCAATCACTAACAATCATATTATCTATCAACAGAGGTCTAATTAGTGTAAAAGCAGCAACAGCAACAACAACAACAACAACAACAACAGAACCAACCAGACTGTACTTACAGCACCTACAGAGCATTGCGCGGTCAGACTCCTGCTTATGTGGCGGACCTAATTCATCCATATACATCAGCCCGCCCACTCAGGTCACACATGCACAATTTACTGTCTGTCCCACGTACCCAGCTTAAGACCTGCGGTGATCGAGCGTTCGAAGCCGTGGCTCCTAAGCTATGGAACGCTCTGCCCGCTCATCTCCGGTCTGCTGACTCTTGATTCCTTTAAGGCTCTTCAAAGACATTTCTGTTTGGGCAGGCCTTTGGGTAACCGGTGTGCTTGATTTTATACTACGTTTTTATTTTGTTTTCATTATGTTTTATTGTGTTTTGGTATTTTATGACTTCTTATCACGTGGCTTGTGTGTTCAATTATCATTGTACGATTCCCATGATGATGTTTTATTGTTTTGTCAAGCACTTTGTGACTTTGTATAAAGCGCTTTATAAAGAAACTTTACTTACTTACTTGTTGTATTTGTTCTGAGGGAAACTTTATCTGATTAAGCAAACAAGGAATGATTCCTTTGAATGTTTTGCAGTCTGCGACGCCGCGGGTAAACCACCAAGAATCCCACTGAAAGAGTTCTTTGTTGCTTCAGACTAGCTAATGTGAACATTACACGCTCACCTAATAGCATTAGCTGAGGGTGAATGTTTGTCGTGCTGAGCGTACCTCGGAGTGTTCAGCAGTGCAGGATTTGTTTGAGTACGTTGATATGGCCATTGAGTGGGAGGGGGCCGGACTGGATGATGCAGGTTTTGGGGACTCTGATGCGTCTCCGTTAGGTAGCAGTCCGTCAGCGAACCACACCCTCCTTTGTTCCCGTGTCAGGGTCCCTGAAGATGAGACAATCACCAGGTTACAGAAAACTGCATGCAAGCAAACCCCTATCATAAGTAGCATATCAAATATTTCTTTAAAATCAGTGGGGACAGAATGCCACTGTAAAAAGGTAAACAAATTAATTGCATTTTTTATTCAATGTAAAATGTGTACCCTCGTTGCCAGCTGGTTTCAGGACTCCCACAGGCACCATGACGGTAGGCGGGGGGGAGTTGAGGGCCCCCGAAGCCTGGGCCTGCTGCAGGGGGGGGATTGTGGAGCAGTACTCCGAGGGGTTGTTGGGGTTCGGACTGTGGTTGGTTGCAGCGGCCAGCGTCCCCCAAGATGGAGCTAACAGAGAGAGAAAACACCATCAGTACAGGTTAGTTTTTAGACTTGACACACATGTAATTTTAGCAATACATCAAATCCTACATTCAGATGTCCCATGCTGTGTGGGTGACTGCTTTTTTGAAAGAAAGTGGAAAATGCCAAATCTATAAAGAGACAAATATTGGTAATTCAATTATCACTGGGCTTATTTGTCCAGACTTGGCCGGACTTGCTATGATGTCACGCACTGGGAAACAATATCCTCATGATATTGAGGCGGACGCAGATTCTAGAGCCAGGCGTCCCAGCTGCTCTCCCCTAATTGCAAGCCCAAGGGCATGATGGGAAATGCTTTGCGGTCACCTGATCCAAGAGCTAATTTGTGTCTGTTTTGTAGAAAAATCCCTTTGTATGTAATATTTTAGATTATAGGCTATGAAGGTTTAATCTGTGACCAAACATATGTGGTTGAGGGCGCTTATCAAAACAAGAAATTACAAAGTGGTCAACAATGCAGACACAAAAAGAACAAATGATAGAATACAACGCCAGATACACTCACATTTGCAACTATAACTACAGAACATGGTCTGATAGTTCTAACAGGGTGTAAATATTTCTGTGACTTCCTGTATATTCATTTGAAGCTACTGTCCAACTTGACTTGCAGTTTCTTATCACAACCCTTGCCGCTGCCATCTGATCTCGACCACAAACCAGGCAAAGGTCCATTTCATCCTGATTGAGCCGATTGACAGAATGTCATATTATGACAAGCACAGGTGAAACTCATTTAATTAACGAGTGCTTTCTCCCAATCAGTGGCGCAGTAAGTCATTACATTGAGCCAGCAGACTCTCCTGAATGAAACTCGTAATTGTGTCATTCATTACACCTGTGCTTTCCTGTGTGTCAAAATGTCAGCTGTGAAAAGGGACTATTTATATAGTCTCTGTGCTCCATTACCATACTACATACAGTTCAATGCTTCACATGTACTGGATGCAATTACAAAAATCACATGTTTTTCTTTGAATTTAACTCATTTCTGTGTACAACCAGTTCTGTAGGTTAAGTTTACCACAATATGAACCTTTTGAGTATTGGGATCAAAGCAAAATATCTTTTTAGACCAATATTTTAATTCTTTTTACTGGTTTAAGTCTTTTTGACTAGAGCAGAATCCTCAGTTCCATTGAAATATACAAAGCGTACATTTAAAAAGCCACATATAGATTGTAAAGAATTGAACTTTCTACTTGCAAAGCTGCTTACCACTGGTCAGAGCAGAATGACAGGTGACACAGACGCGAGCCTCCTTCCTGTCCATGTACATGAGCCTGCACTTCAGGCTGCAGCACGCCGCACAGAACACCTTCAAAACACAATGAAAAAATACTATTTGTACTAAATTCCTACAAAATGATGAGCACACTCGAGAAAGCACATTTTACTTATACTGTGAGGATTTTAAAAAGGTGGAGGATTGGAAATGAGTTGTGATTAAGTGTGCCGCAAATGTCCCATTTTATGGATATTGATTTCCTGTACCTCATTTCCTGTAGTGCCAGCGCTCCAGTGAGCTACAGCTGCGCACAGGGTACTTTACATTCAATGGATTAGCACCTCATTACACTTCATTATCCACAAACACTGGGTCCCTCACAGCTGATGGTGGGTGCACTGAGGAGCCCGCTGCGTATATTGTTTGCGGGCCCAGTGCTGGTGTCAGTGTTGCTGCAGTGCCAGCTCCTCCCTGCTCAGGAGGCAGAGTGTGTTTGTTTACCACCACGGGAAATTAAGAAGCAGTCCGGAGATTTTCTAGTGCAGTGTCAGCGACCACACCTTCACTTTAAAGCACTGCGAGGACACCCCGCTGCTTGAGTGGGGGGCCGTAATGCTAGAAAGCTACCAGTGCAATAACTCTATCAAATCACTTCATTCACCTCCTTACACAGAACCCAGTAAAGCTTAAGTTGTTTTTCTGCTTCTTTTTTTATCCCGCACTTATTTTTCCTCTTGTTTGCAGTTGTATCTTTTATTTACCTAAACAAAAACTGCTTCATTGTCAAACATTACAGGTCTGATGATTCCAGGTACGTGTGTATTATAGATGAAGCAATGTATTAAGTAACAAAAGAAGCTAATCAAAAGGAGTAAGCACCCTTTGCTGAATTGGTTTATCACTAAAATAATTGTTCAAGCAAAAACTCCATACATGATCTAATTCAAGCATTCTTAGTTTTCTATCTTATGTGCAATCTACTCTACATGAAAATGCTAAAGTGTTTTGCAAGTTTAGCTTTCTTTAAACCCATCTTGAAAGGCCAACATCATTTGGCTTATCGCTCTGACAAAGCCCCAGGGGAGGTGTGAACATTATGGAGAACAAACATGTGGAGTAAGCAATAATAAAACGCAGCATGGTAACAGTGAGCTTTTTGGCAAGAGCTTCTCAAAGTCATGCACCCGACCTTAATATCAATACAGCATATATCTAATGGATGCACTCTAGTAGCTCATACAGGCTACAGTAGGCTTGTGAAAGCTATTTCTTACTTCATCTGATTGGTTTCGTGATCATTTTTAAAATGTGTATAAATATTGAGTCTCCTTATTTATGATGGGCTGACACCAAACATGTACTATTTTAAGCCCTTAAAGGTGGGGTAGGTAAGAATGGAGAAACCGGAACAAATCTGCCACTTCCTCACAGAGCCCCTCCTCCAACACACACGAACGCGCACATGACCAATGAGGGCACGAGATCAGTTTGTGCACAGATGGAAGGCTGACAGGCAGGTAGGCCATCCAGTTATTTTAGCCGGGCCGGCTCAGATGATTGGTCGTACTTTTTACAGCGCCACGGCTTCCACAGATGACATTTTTGTATGGATTTGTCAAAGCACTTCAGATATTCATTGCTATCGGGATGTTAAGAGCATTCCATGGAATATGACAAAAAGTGTTTTTGAAGTGAATTACCTACCCCCACCTTTAACCTTCTGCCAAACTACACCCAACAAGTGTTCATCTATTCATGGAGGAGTTCACTTTGTAATTGATATATATAGCACTAGAGGTAAGAGGAAAAATATATATTTTTGATTGTACGGTGAAGACTCCCAGCTGTAGCACTGACCTTGCCGCAGGCCCTGCAGTGGTGCCTCCTCTTGGTGAAGGTGAACTTGACATCACATTTCATGCAGACAGGAGCCTGGGAGTCGGGGACCCACACAGGGGCCACCTCACCCAGGCAGCTGGAGGGTTTCCTGCTCAGAGAGCCCTGCTGGCCGGCCTGGAGGTCATTGTCCGGGCTCTCCGAGGGCATCGGGGCAGGAGAGTGGACCACACCCTCTCCGTTCACCCCCACTAAACTGGGCTCAGTCCCACTGGGCGTGGTTTCAGAGGGCGTGCCTCTCCGACACTGGTTGTCATGGTTTTTGTTCCTGCTGTTGGCGAGCTGATTCTGGACCTGGCCCGACAGAGGCTGTGGGATTTGGAGCTTGAGGTTGACCGGCTGTTTCGGTCGCGCTCCTCCGAAGGGAACACTGACCGGCTGCAGGCGATTGTTGAGTTTTGGTTGGATGCTACCTGACCCCACTGCTACTCCCTCACTGCTCTCCTGCTTGCTTTCCTCCATTTCTTTCTCCTCAGTGACTGAGTCCTCTTTGGAGGGGACAGGAGAGGGAGAAAAACCCTCCTCCTGCTCCTCCTCCGTGCTTTGGAATGGTTACTGCTCTCCTGCTCTAAACCATTGGGAAGGCTTGGTATTCTGAGGAGTTGGTCCATCTGTCCCTTCGGACCACATCTCCTCTGCTTTATATCCAGTCCGTTCCTGTCAGGAGGAGATACACCATTCTCCTCCACCTTACAATCACTACGAATGTCTTGTTCCCGATGCAGGAGACTCTCTACATGCTGCTGTTTGAAGTGAGCAGTCTGTTTTTCATGACCATTGTCCTGTAAGACCTCCTGTTTGACATCTTCCCCATTGTGTGTTGTTAGCTGCACATTTGGATTTATTCTCAGTGCCAGAGTTTCTTTTTCTAATCCAACCTCAAAGGTGAAGTGAGTGTGACCGACGGTGGAGCCTCCTCCTGATGCCGAGTCGGCTCTTTCCTCCCGATGCGATTCCTGATCAGAATCCCCAGGAGGTCTGCCTGAAGGAGAATGTATCTTCTTGCTGAGCCCCCCCAGTGTTGGGCTTGCAAGGCAGCCATTCTCCACAGCAGGGCAGGCCGTCACAGGGGGCGGCGAGAGGTCGTCGGTGCCCACCAGCTTGCCGATGTTGGGCTGGGGGAGGGGAGGGCTGTGGACGTCTGCCGGCCTCTCCTCTAACCCAGGATGGAGGTTCTAGACCTGGAAGTCTCTTTGAGTCTCCCCCCGGGGAGGTGCTGGAGGTGCTGGAGTTGGGGAGGGTTTTGAAGGGCAGCGGACTCTCCCCGGGACTGAGGTCTGTGTGGGCCAGGGCGGGGTTCAGAGAGAGCAGGTGGGCCGGCGGGGCCAGGATCTGGGTCCACTTGGCATCTGAGAGAATGGGATTGTCGGTCTCATCTGGAGGGAGAAAGAAAACTGATCAGTACATGGATCTCATGATACATTATTTGATCAAAAGCTCCAAGAAGAGTTTACATTTAACCAATAGTGGCTTTGCTGCACATTGCATAATATTTCACCTGATATTACAAGATAAGTATTAGCAGATAAGTCTTTTTTTTAAAAATATAAAAGCTTCTATTGAGGTTTCAAATGAAAGGTGAAACGTCTGTCATTATATTCTATAATACCATAGGCATTAAAAACATTCATTTCTTTGTTATTGTGATTATATAAATGTTGTTGTATAAATCTCTGCTTGGGTTGGTTCCCTCCTACATTTGCACATACAGTATATGTGTCAGAGAGAAAGTCTATATGGCCTGCACTCCAAAGATGTTATTCAGATGCTGGTTCCTAACGTAAGAACAAAAACAGCTTTTAAATACGCGGCCCCCACAGCTTGGAACAATGTACAGAAGGAGCTGAAACTCTCAGATGGAATCACTATGGGGGAATTCAGGTCCATCTTAAAAAGGACAGAGAACACGACACCATTGGCAGATGCGAGTGCTCGTATATCCACAAATCTTTTTAAATGTTGCCAGTTTTTAATAGTTTGTTTTATTTCGCATAGTGACTGGATAATGTGCCATTTTATTTGTGTTTTAAAGCTGTATTTGTCTGCCTGTCTTGTCTGTGTTTTATCTGTTGTAACTTCCTTCATGCTGCCCTTCTTGGCCAGGTCACTCTTGGAAAAGGGATTTTAATCTGAAGGAGTCTTTCACCTGGTTAAATAAAGGATATATATATTTTGTATGGTGCTGTAAGATTGCTGCTTGACTGCCTGGTTAATACAGCTACAGTGAAAATGTTACTTTTGAAACGATAACAAATACTGATCGAGCCAGACAAATTCTGACAAATAAAACACGCTGTGAATTTTGAAAATCATAGTATTTATTTATTTCCCACTAATAAGTTATGGGAAATGTTAGGATCACAGGAGAGAGAGAGAATCTTATGCAGCCACCCCTAAAATCTTATTCTCCAAATAGCATAATACTATTAGCTTAATCTGCATCTGACACATTTAAATAAATAAATACAAAGTGTAAAAACACTTTTTTCATTAATAGACATGACAAAAATTCAAATTCTCACATTATGAATAAAGCCTTCTACAGTTCAGTTCAGCCCAGATTTGTACCCGGAGAAAAGATCATGAACCTCAAACACAAGACAGGAAGCCTCAAAGGAACTGCTACGGAGAACTATTGCAAATATACACACTCCCAGGTGATCGAGAGCTAAAAATGGGAGAGCCAAACCAGGGGACAAATTGAGAAATGAGGTTGGCAGGGAGTGGGAAATTAGTGTGGGAATTCAGTGAAAGTGGGCCAAACGGCTCAGCCACCCCTAGGAGACATCAGTCAAGCTAGCTGACACATGAATGCTGGGTAATACGAAGCGGAAAATCTTATAAAAATGTATTCAAAAGGACTTTTACAGCCAAGTCAGCTACTGTATAGTGCTTTCCTTCATTCACTGGAACTCATGCTAAGCTGTTTCGGCATGCGCTGTACCAGGTTCAAGCACACACACACACATTCACTCACACAGAGTTAATCTGCCAAGCTGGATCTCTGGCAAAGTACACACAGATAATCGCTCACAGCCAAAATACACACTGAGCTCTGAGAACCATTCAAATAGGTGGTGTGTGGAGGGCTGGCATATTTCTGGGGTCACCTTCAGTCATAAATCCAGAAAAGGAGCAGTCTTGTAGTCTCTGTAATAACAGAGCGTTTGTTCTGGAGAGCTGGGAGCGATACACAGCACAGTGTTTACTTTACGATCACCGTAAATAAACTCTGTGAAGGCACTGTCTCTAAAAAGGCCGTAACACCATTTCTTTAGTAATTGTCAGCATTAAGTGTGAAGAAGACACAAAAGACTTGTCTTGCACCAATTACACAGTTTCACACAGGCCCGGGGGAAATGGATAATCCAATTAGCCCCATCTCCTCTCTGCACACTTTCAATCGACACCTGTAAATGTTGCAGGAGCTGGTGGGGTGTCGGCTGAGTCTGGCACACTGATGGTTTACTCACGGGTTACATAAGGGCATCCTGACCACAGCTCCTCGGAAACTTCAATCCCACAATTACACCATCTCTCAGACACAATGACTCACTGTCTGGCCCCGTGTCCTTTCAACATCCTTCTAAACAGAGGAGCTCACCTTCGTTCTGCTCAAACTCGTCCAGCACCTTGTCCAGGTTGAAGGCCTCGGCCTGGAAGTAATTCTCCATGGGTCAGGAAGCTCCACGCTGCCGACGGCCGTGTGAACCTAGAAACACAAGAGTGTCCTTAATAACAAATCTGCAAATGTCCCCCATGGCCTGTTTCCTATCTCCTTTCTCATATCTCACTTCAATCAGCTTTGTCTAAGTAGAAACATCCCCTCCAACCCCCTTTGGCTCTTACTTCTCATTTTCCTTCCCTACCAGTCGTGTGTTTGTGATTGCTCTGGGGCCACAAAGATAATAAAAGGCAAGTATAGCTAAGGTCAAAAAGTGCTTTATGATTGCGAAGGTTATGGAGTGAGTTATGAGCCTTGAATATAGTAACAAGGAAGCATTCAGGATACTCAAGTATTACATGCTCTACCTCTTTGAAGTTTTGCCATCATTAAATGTGTTGCAGCATCATTTCATCCGCTTATTCTTTTCTTCATTTATTGCATGGTCGATTAAATGATAAGATTATGTACTAAATGATTATGTTCCCCTTAAGTCCAAGGTGACATCTCCAACTGACTTCCATCATCTAACCTCAAAATATTACATTTATATTATATTTAAAAAAAAGGGCAAAAACATTTGGATTCAAACAGGAAACAGATCATTTGCTTCAGTTTTAAAAATACGACTCAAACGATAAATTCATTATCATAAGAGTTGGACATAAACGTTCTCATCAGCTAATTGCCTCGTGTTCTGTATGACATGATCAATTGTTGGCTTTGTAACTTGGACATAGTCTTCATTTAAATACATTTCTGACTCCTACGTATACATGTATTATATCTGGCTTCTTCGTCCCTCCTCACCTGCACAGAGGTCCTCCTCAGCAGTCCCAGGTGGTGGGTTTGTTCGCAGCAGGTTTCCCCTCTCACTTCTCACTTCACCCAGTCTGGCAAGCGCCCAGCGCCCACACCTTAGAGAGGGAGGGAAACACCTTTGAGTCAAACAACTGCTTCTCATCCTGCGTGGAAAAGGATGCTGCTTGTCTCATTATAAGGTAACACAAAAAGTGAGATTACAGCATTTCCTAGATGCTTGCAGTATATGAACTTCATTTACTATTCCGATGTAACTACTCTCTCTCCTCTCAATAAGTGATCGGGGGCGTCACTCTCCAGCTTAACCAATCACTTCGCTCTATTCCCAAGAGCCTATCATAGCGCTCTGCCAAACCTTTTAAATCTGCTCTCCCCTCTGACAGCTGTCATTTCAGGTGACTTGACGCAACCCTCCTCCCCCCCCTTTTCACTTCCTGTCCCTCTGAATCCAGGGTCAAGCTAAACCACTCCCCTTCAGACCGACCCAACCATCCATTCACCACCACCACTGTCTAGACCCCGGGGGGTTTCATCGGATCGGTTGTCCCCTCCCGAATGATACTTCCTGCACAACGGGGCCAAATCGCCAAAATAACCATTACTTTAATTTGTGTATCTCTGCAATAAATATGTATTCTTACATCAAAACCGTCTCTCCTGATTGAAGTAAGTAAAGCCAAGTCATTGATCTGGGATTGCGATTGAAAGGTACAAATTAAACATCTGAATTGTACTGGTCAATACGTCCAGCTACGGTTCAGGCTAAGGCTGGCTGTTTTTAAAGTAAAAAAACTAAACAAATGCATTAAAAACATATAAATTGAATCAGACATTTTTTCAAGCAAAAGTGCCAAAAATGTACCGATTTTCAAATGTAAAGATTTAACCATTTTTCTTAGTCACAAACAATAACATAACATCTTTTGAGTTTTGAACTGATGGATGAATAAAAACGATAAAAGAGTTCACCCTGAGCTCTGTGAAATTATACTGGGCCTTTTCACCATTATAACATTTTTATAAAGGATCGAAATACAAATGTGGGGAGACAGTTTAGTCCATGAACACATGTTTTAAATGATAAAACAGTGCATCTAGCTTATCATGTGTATTGCACATAATCATACATCGTGAGCAAATACTCATTCACGCTCGACAAGGCAACCAGAGGCCTGAATGGAAATCAGATGAGGCCCGAGTCACTGCACAGTAAACCTGCCCAGTCTGTCCTTGCTGATGAGAGGACCTTGGAGTGAGGATGCGATGGTGTGTGTGTGTGTGTGTGTGTGTGTGTGTGTGTGTGTGTGTGTGTGTGTGTGTGTGTGTGTGTGTGTGTGTGTGTGTGTGTGTGTGTGTGTGTGTGTGGGTTAGCAAATGAGTAACAGCCATGCTGAACCTCAGGGTCATCCTCATAAGGACAAGAGCGTCCAGGGATTACACCAGAGACTAGATATTCCACAGCGCGAAGGCTTCGGAGAAAGGAGCCGAGTCAACACACTTTCCGCTTAGTTTAAGGAGCCAGCATGTGCACGACGTCAGCAAAACGGTGAGAGCACAGGACAGGAGGAGGATACACATGTCGTGTGTACCGCGTGGGTCAAACCATTTCTGCAGCACCAGGACCGAGGCTGAAGGAAACACTGCTGTCAAATGGCAGTAACCATTCCAAAGCCAAGAATAGAAAACTAAATAGCTTTGACTACAAAAAGCTTTGAATTAAGAATATCGACAATAAATAATCCATCAGTGAATGAAACCAAGACACAGCGCTTTAATTAGAGCATCTTACGAACCATTAGGCAAGCACAGTCCAGATGGAGTATGATGACTCAGATTGGGCTCAACACACACCGTGACGTCACCGCAAAATCAATACGAGAAACTCTACTACTGCTCAAATAAATAGACACTGACATTTGAAAAAACATTGACAGTGAATAATAATCATAAATGTAATTATAATAATGTGGTGATTTTCAACAAAACTGCAATTTTCTTTAAGATGAAGCACTATGTTGAACAATTCCACAGACCCCAGTCTGCAGCTTCAGTCAGTTAGTTTTATTTGTAATTTGTTTAACATTTTTGAAAACAATATGATCATAAAAGCAAATGATATACCCTAATCAACTCATCATTGCTTTTCATTTTAACAATAGTTTAACTGTATAGAGTTTAATTTCACAAAACTGTAACCTTAGCATTGAAAACGATTAAACTAAATGTTGTCCGAACCCTTAGCTATTCTTATCAAATCAACAGATGAAAGCAGGTACAATTTAAATTCATAACAATGCAAACAGGAAAGTTTAACTTTGTTAAACCTCTCCACCTTTTCCTTCAGCAGAGAGCTTTGCCTCTAAAGATTTCTGAAACCGTCTCGCACCGTAGGAGGCTGAAAAGAACCAGAGGACTGGGGGACAACACACACACACACACACACACACCCACAGAGAGAGAGAGAGACACACACACACACACACACACACACACACACACACACACACACACACACACACACACACACACACACACACACCTCCATGAGGACAGGAGCCCGTCCCTGATTAAGATTTAATTACTCAGCAGAGGCGTTAAATAATGCATCTTTAGTCAAAGTGCGTGAAGGGCTTGTATTTTTAGACATGTAAACTTGGGGAGAGGCTTTAAAGCAGACATATGTGCATGAGAGAGCGTCAGTCGGAGAGCCTGCAGTTACACAATCTCATTTTTAAATATTTTGTTACTCCTCAGCTAGACTACTCAAAAACGATCAGATGCAAGCAGTTACATGTGGTGCTGTGAGTCAAACAAGAAAATCAAGATGTGCATTGACAGTTGACCACACCTGACAGTTATTCTAATTGACCTCAAATGGATTTTACAGACTTAACTTTTGTTTTGTTTGTTAAATATTGTCTTGGAAATGCTTATAAACATGACAAATAGCTCAATTGTTCACATTTCTTACAACATTGTGAAAAATTTGTTCATGTTTGTGAAGCTGTTGTTATTATCAGTAAACGACGTGTATTATTTTAGCCATGATAGTGGCAAAGCTCAAAGGGAGGAAAACACTTCTGACTTTGAAGAGGTTTGCAGGTGTTTCAGGGTGGAATATTATAATATGTATCAAATGGATTGCCATGTCATTTGGTACAGACATTAATATCCTCCCCAGTAATATTCTGTAACTACTTTGGTGATCAGCTAACTTGAAGTTTTGCACCATCATCAGATCAAAATTGTGTCTAATAGTTTGTGAAAAAATACGTGCGTAGCTAACTCCACCTCTACTTGGCATTAAGGGGAACTTATTCAATATTAGCATGCTAGCACACTAAACTAACACAATATACCTTTATACCATCTGCATGTTAGCATTGCCACTTTAAGCATTTACCAAACACCACCTGTGTTAGAATGTAGCTCAAAGCATAGCAAGGCATAGACTTTTGATGTATAACTCAACCCATAGACTGCAGAAAATAACCAAAGCTTATCAGATTTGGAATCAGATTTATGTTGTTAACTGACTTCTATAGGCCTCACTATTTCAGCATCAATCAAGTGATTGTTTGAGCCACAAACTTCACAAAATTAGGGGACATTTTCAAATCACTTGTTTTGTCAGGCTAACAAGACTAAGAGATATCTAATCTAAAATTGCATACACATATGGTAATGTTGCAAATCTTCAAACTAGAGCAGCTGGATATATATTTTGTAGATTGTTATAAAAAGATGACACTTGACATTGTAATGACAGAACCAGACAAGGAACCTTACTCTATTTTAAACTAAGCAGAACTGCAGAGGATCCCCTCCACAGCCACGCTGCAGCCTCCAGTGTAAGCCAGACATGCTAATAATGAAATGGCCTAACGGACTACTAACACGATAAAGTATGCCTGACTGGACATCCCGGCATGGCAGCTAAATTAAATAAGACAAGGGCATAAACAGCGAGGAGGCTTGGACCGATTACAAGAATGCTACCACAGTTCATTAGGTCCTCGCTGTCAGAACAACACTCGGTTTCCTGCTGTTGTTTCCTGTGAGGGAACCACATCACTTCCTCACACATCATGTGGAATTCCCAAGTTACAGTCATTGTATCGGTTATGAAATATAATATATATTATAACGGTCTAATTATTTCTGGGGGTTTTTCAAGCAAAAAGCCCAAATGTTTCAGTTTCACAGACATAAGGATTTGCCATTTGACAACAAAATAAAAGTCCTAAGACTTTGTAATATTGGTTGGATGATTAAAGACATCACTGAAGGCGCTGAGAAATGTTTATTTTACACTAAAAGATAAAGGAAGCAATCAATATTGAAAAAAAATAAAGCAAGCAAAATGATTAAATACAAAAAAAAGAATTGAGAGATTATTAGTTTCAGTAACACATTTGAAACTGATGACTTAATGGATGTTTTGGATTAAGTGAAACAAAACTCTAACGTTTAAGCTGTCTTTGAGAATGTGATAGTGGTTGTAAATAGTTCTACAGGAAATCAGACCTGTGAACAAATGTCTTCTTCTACTGCTCCTGGTGCTACAAACGTCCCAGGTTTGCAGGCTCACATCCTGATCAGAGCGTTTATAGATCCATACCCGGCACAGACGAGCTCCAGACGCCTCCGAGTGCACACAGGAAACCCCCAATGATCACTTCCTCTTTAAGAATGGACTGACATAACTTTCTCACAGCATGATCGCATGACCTGACTGACACATTACTATGTAATGATTAACGCCCTGACTGGGAGTTGTCTACCTCCTCCTGTAAGTACTTAAAGTTGCAATTCCCAAGTACAGCTAGATATTTCAGAAATAAACATTAAAAGAAAAACAAGCCACAGGTTTGTATCCTTAAAAGATGAGTCTTGTCAATCATTTGAAAAGAGAGGTTAATAAATGGCAAATCCTTTGAGATCTGAAGATGGGAAAAGTAAAGAGAGTGGCTTGTCGTCCTGTTACAAAGAGCTACTCTGCTTCACATAAAGTGTCAAAAGCTATTATAATCTTCTTTTCTCCTTTATGTTTTGATCTACATTTAACCGCCACACGACAGAAGAAAAGGCAAGAGGAGACAGGCTGCTGTGCCGGGCTGCCATCAGGGAGAGACTTGTAATAGCTTCTGAAAGCGTACAGTAACCTACATCTGGGAAGTCTCTGCTGCACACAAGAGAGCTGGTCTTTGCATGCCTGTTGGATCAGTCTGCTTGAGGATGTAGTGAGGTAAAAAATCAAATGCCCTGAACAGTCACTCAGTCAAGCTGGAGAGATACCAAGAACAATGATGAGTGTTATGTAGTAAAGCCTTTCCAGAAGCTTTGATATTATCTGTTCTGGATTTCTCTTCAGTGACAAATTCGTTTTACACTCACTGGTGATGACTATTCAAGCTGGCACTGGGATGGGCCCACTGCTTTTTTTATGAATGCACCTCCAGTTCTTAAATAAAAAGCCCTGAGATGACATGATGAGGTAAATGTAAAAGACATGGCACTAACAAACTCTCCAGAGCAACACAAATGACCATTAGCTTGGATTATGCAATCATAAAGTAGCACTCTGTGCCTGCTGCCTACAGGCCAAACACAGCCTCAGATAGTAAATATTATTCACAGGTACACTGGGTTAAGCCATGGGAAGCTTCTCTTTGTTATTAAACGTGGTATATCATGAAAAAACAGCTACAAACACGACATTTGAGGTGTATTTATCTGCACCAGAACTTAGGTTATTAGTTCTATTAGCTGCTAGCTGAATGTAACGTCCACACCTCAAAAGGCCACGAGTTAAGTTTACAAAACAGTTATAACAAAGCCGGGTATAACAATATGATGAAATATTTAGAGGATAAATAACCCCACTGTACAGCAGCAGGGTGTATCAGGAGGAAAAGGTGGCTAGGGTTAGCTCCAAGGGTTTAGCGGGTAGTCGTGCTCCGAGTGACGGCAGAGACGTGCTCCTCTGACGGACACTCAACCAACCGTCTGCTCGGTGGGCTTGGTGCTAACGGTTTAACGGCTATTCTGTGGCTAACGGTTTTAACGGTTATTTAAAAAAGCATTCCTCCTCATGTTAACTCAGCCTATTTCTCGCAGTCATAAAAAGTACATTTTGCTTTTTGCTGCATTGCTAGTGTTTTTATTAGTGAATGTTTAGCCACAGCTCGTAAAGCAGCGTGTTGTGTAATTGAACGTAAAATAGTGCATCACCCCTCTCGGTGTCACTCACCATTTAGCTAGCCAAACAGACCATGCAACCCCACATCCACACTGACTTATTCGGCTTAGTTAATACAACACTTGCCGTTGCAATGGCGGGTTGTAACGTCAGAGCAACAACAGACAGTGTAAGAAATGTCATGAAAACATTTACTCACCGGAGGAATCCTCATCTCTACGTACAGTCCTCCCGTGGAGACCCTCCTTCAGTATCCGTCATACCTAATCGCCTTTGAGGGCTATTTTTGAGTCTCCTCAGATAGACCCTCCGCTGCTGCCTAACTCACACAGCGCAAGTCGGAAAGTACAGCCTGTAGTCTGCCGTAGTTGCCGTAGTCAAGGATCCCTCCCCCAAAGGTTAATATTGGGGAAAATAAGAAGCACCATCAAGACAGCCAGAATGGAGACCCACCACTTCCGGTTGTGTATTTCAAAATGAAATACCACCTGCTACACCTCAGTTTTATCTTAATACATATTCTAAACGAAGAACACGATTTGTTTAAAAATATCCAACAGTTAATTACTTAATTTATCCAGAATTAAACATGTCATAAATGTGTTCATTCATAAAATATAATTCTAAAAGAAAGTGTCATTTTAAATTACATTTAAACACATATATTTAAATGTAAATCTTCAAGCAGTATTACATTTGAAAACCTGTTGTAAAATATTGAACTAAACTACTAATTCATGCAAACTATTTTATAGTAGGCCTATATAATGTGATCCTCTTGTGTATGTTTTTCATTTGTAGGTTAACTTTGTTGTTTACCTTTTCTCTTACCGAAATAACCTGTATTTTTTTCTTCTTAGTCTTTATTGAAATGCAAGATTTATGTTATAATTAATCAATACACACTTACATTTTGCATTAACCAGTGGTGTAAGTATTCAGATCCTATAATAAAATAAAAGTACTAATACAACAGTGTATAAATATGTTAAATGTTGTTTGCCTAGTTCTGTTACCTTGGGGGTACCTTACCTTACCTCAGTCAAATAGTGTGGTAGAACCGGCCGAGTTAATTTGATTTCTCCCATACGTTCAAAGATAAGTTTCTTTAAAAAAAGTTTAAGATGCAATGTTTTTTTTGTCATATTCATGATAGCTACAGCGTAGTTGCAGGCTCCTCCAATAGTGCAACATACAGTAAACTATACTTAAAACATAACAAGAATAAACATAAATAGTGCAAGTGACTAAATTCTGCAAGTAAAATGCAGGTAACGAGTCAACTAAAGCTTTTAATTTGAAAGGCTACAATACAGAGTTTCCGGTTCTGACTCAGTTATCTGTGTATCTTGACGCTTCTGTAAAGCTGTTCAGCTCCATCCAGCTCAGGTCCAGCCGCCGCAGCAGCAGCGGCAGCAGGACATTTTGGCAGCCCGGGCTGAAGGTGGGGTGGTGAGCCCCGGGGCTGAAGGTGGTGAGCCCCGGGGCGGGTCTGGTGTTCCGCAGCCCGGCCCCGCCTCACGGTGCAGGACCGTGCAGGACACACAGGAGCCAAAATGGCCCGTTCCTCCCCGGTAACCTTGTGAGGCTCTCCAGCTGTGCAGAGACTGACAGCAGAGCGTCATTGATCTGCACGATGCAGCAGAGCAGCGTCACAGGATCAATGAAACGGGATGCTACAGTCTCCTTATGTGCACACTGCACACCCAACCAATGATTATAGTGGGGGAAATTAAAACCAATAGTTCTTCATATTTGATTCATAACAACTTTACAAAAAAGTGCAAAACCCTTTTCCTTTACCTGAATAAACACAAGGAAATAACTTGTGATCAGTAATGCGATATGACAAGTTCATTTACTGCAGTACTGTAGTTAAGTACATTTTGAGGTACCTTTACTAAACTCATTTCGATTTCTGCTACTTTATACTTTCATTACATGGAAGAAGAAACGATCCAACATTTAACTACTTCATTTCAGTTTCATAATACAAAATATAATCAAATAAATTACAAGCTTATTCATTCCTTGCTGTAACAACAAGGTGATGAACTCTTGAATGCATCAACAATAATAATCCTAATGTAATACACTGCTGAATGAGTGCTTTTAATGTAGGTACTTTGAGTTTCACGACTAATACTTTTTTAATCTTTCACTTAAGACATTGTGACTGCATCGCGTTTACTAGTCATTGAGAATTATGCTTTGATGCATTTTTAATGCTACTTTTATCTATATCCTTTTTCCACCACTGTTGATTATTATTATTATTATATCATAGCAGACTATACAGTAGCAACACAGCCAAAGATCAAATTGATGCAATTTAAATCGTTTTTTTTTTTAACTCAAAGTTTAGTTTCAAAGTATTTTTATTTCAACTTCCAGAATATTGTGTTACGTAACGGATCAGATATCGACGAATTCAAGGACGTGTAAAGGAAGAGGACCACTGTGGGGCTTATAATAACCGTTTGTTCTATTTATAAAACTAGCATCAGTTACACTCTTAACATATAGAAGACTCTACTACTTCTAAAGTATTCATCAGAGCTAGTATGTAGGGGGTTAATACTACAGACTGTTTCCCCATGAGGCGAATAGGATTCTTCTGATGGCTAAAAACCAATCGGACAAGTCAAGTAATAACGACATGCGTCAATAGCCCAAAAATGTTTTATTAAATTCATAATCAACGCTATAATGTAAAGTGAATGAAGAGTTCACTTTGATTGCAATTTCCTAAACAATCTCTTAAATACTAGCCATGTTTAACCATGTAGAAAGCTTATTTCTAAAGAAGTTGGAGTCCTTTTGGTGCTGAGAGTCGTGCCGATCCTCGTTTCTCACCGTGTCCACAACGTCACAGCCTACTGAAATGAAAACCTACTGTATCCGCATGATGTTGCTGTGGCAGGCTAGACCCAGCGCTTCACGTCTCCGGAGGTGCTGATGCATCGCACTTTTAACAACCGTTTCCAGCACAAGAGGAAATGCCCTTTGTGAGTCCGAACGAGGTAAAACATAAAACGGTTGACGGAGGAAAAAAAGGGTTCTTCAGTTTGCTTCGTTCTTTGAGGCTTCATCAAAGTTCTCCACGAGATCTGGAAGATAGGAAACAAGAAAGAACATCAAGGTATTGTTAGTCCAACAATTTGTGAAAGCGTAGCAGGTGATTCAAGCCTTTATTATTAAGGGCTTGCAACCGAAGCATTGATAAAAAAAACAATTTGAAAATGAGAATGCAAACGCAACTAAAGTTCTTATTTTATTGGTTGATAAAAAAAAAAAAGTGTTTACCTGGTACATCGTCATCCTCTTCTTCTGCAATCACCTCCTTAACTGCTTTCATGTCCATTGCTGCCAAAGACATGAAAAGAAAAACCAACCAAGTTAATCCAAAGTTGAGCTCCATGTTGAAGTGGTGCTTAACATGGATGGAAATGCCCGGACAGATGAATGACGACATCTACAATTCCATGACAACTGGAGAAAACAAACATCACATAATTAGTTCTGTTGCCATGTGGAAAAGCCGCTCCTATTTCCCGTTTGCTTGACTGGTCTTTGTTTCAAATTACATGCAAAGGCTTGAAACTGAATCACCTACACTCAAATCATGTATCCTAGGGGGATGGTTATTTTGTCTTGTATCAATTAACAGTGTTTAAATGCTCATATGTTTAGTATATTGAAGTGTTGGCCCTTCCCTCTCAATCGTTGTTGTGCTCTTTTGTTATCGTCACTTCTATAACCAGTTCCTCAGTCATCTTAAATCCTTTCTTGTTCTCTAGTGATTCTAAACAAACAAAGCTGTTTAACAAATCTGCATGAATACACTGATGTGTTGAAGGCAGCACATTCATACTGCATTTTTTTTTACTGTGTACGGTCTTCGGGTTTAAAAAGTGGTAACTATTCTCACTACGACATACCTTCGTTTTAATCCAAGTATTCACAAAATCTGATGACTTGGCTGACAACAAATCACTAATATTACAGTCCCACAGTGACCCCTGACATTGTACCTGTGCCTGTACAAGTGTGTGTGTTTGCTTACATTGCCGTGGGAACTGCTCGGCCAGTTTGCGCAGGCTGCTCAGGCTGTCGGCACCCAGCTGGCTCAGGATGCCCGGCAGCATCTCCGTCAGCTGCTTGGTCTCAGCGTGGCCCGTGATGGCGAAGGTGTTGGCGGACAGAGACGCCTGCACTTTGGGGTTGTTGAAGTGGATCACCGTCCCATCATCTTTAATCATATTCACCTGAGGAAACAGATAACAGATTTAGAGCAAATGGGGCATACCACAGGGTTCTGCAGCATCAAGATATAAGCAGTACTTTGTGTATATTCTTAGGTTGTGCTCAAATTGTCCAAAAATATAGTCCTACGTCTGTTTCTAACCAGTATTCCTTAACCTTAGGGAAAACATGATGGGGTTAAGGAAAGATGTGAAGTGCCTTGCCCAGGGACACAACGACATGCTGACTGCAGTGGGGTTTGAACCTGTGACCCCCTGATCTGATCACCAACGCTCAATCCACTGCACCACACGCCTCCGTGACTAACATTTGGAATAGTCAAACTATTTACAGCATACAACCTCAAGCAATAGACCGTTGCTTCAGATTTGAACAAAACTTCCCTAAATTAACCTTTAACAATTGATCATTCACAGTAATATACGAAAGGCAAACTGAGCCACAAGATAAATGAAGGAGACTTGTGAGCATCAGGGTAGTTGTATCGTTTCTTTATGCATTGATTTATCCGAGAGACTTTGCGGGAGCGAGTTGGATTAAAGCTCCCTAAAAATAAACTAAATGACAAGATCGGAGAGGGCTCTCTTTCTTTTATCTTTCCTTATCGGGACTCTGACAAAAAAAAAATGTAAAAAGTTAAAACGGAGCAATCGTCTGTTGGCTTCCTTTGATGGCTCACCTCTTCTATCCCAGCAATGTTGTTTACTGCCAGTTTCTTCAGGGATCCCTGGAGTTTTTTGTCATCAGCTGTTGCTGTTTTGTGAACGACCTTCTTCTTCCTGCGGGCGGTTCCCTGAGGACAGAACAGGTGAGGATGCCAAAAAAAGGATTAGACAGCTGACTCTACCAATATGTCAAATACAATTTAACAGCACCAGGTCACGCAGGACCTTTTTGATGTACATTTTCATTTAATCTTAAAAACACACTAATAACTAATTTCTAGATAATATCAGTGGTAAAGCAGTTTCAAATACAAGACTAAAATTACTAGATTTAAGGAGCCAATGGAACCAGTGCTGTAGCAGAGTCCTGCACGGGTCTGATTTTCAAGACCCGCTCCCGCGACGTGCAAAATAAAAAAATGTTTGAAAAAATACCACCACTTTTTTGCGGGTC